GTCAGTCTTATGCACACCCCTTCAAGTAAAGTGTAACCAAAAAACGTTACAATGATTATTTTCTAAGTTAAAGTTGATCTTTATTGTGAAGGCTATCCATCTGTCACTCTGTTGTACCCACCATGGCGGATTTGGCATCTTTGGCGAACACGAACTGCGCGATCCGTTCTTTCTCCTCCTGCTGAACGCACCGGGCCGCCAGGGTCCACTCGGGACGGGTCGGGACCCACGAACCGCAGCGGAACGCCCACCGGACCCCGTCCATCCCTGACAACCACAACCACTGTTACTAGCCTACAGTACTGCTAGTAGAAATACGCATACTTATCAGCTGTTATATATTATAAAGTTGCGGTTCATTATTATAATAATAATTAATAATATGCAGTCATCATTATTGCATATTATATAGTCTTATGCAATTTGTAGCATTTGTTTAGCTTTCTCTGGTACGCCTGCACATGGGTTCCAAACACACGCAGGCAACCGGAAGAATATGCTGTGGGCGGGGCTAAACGGTGAGCGCCTCGTCTGATTGGCTGAAGGAGAGGGCGGTGACGCTCGTTGACCAATCGCGCGTTGTCGGAAGTGTTCGGCATAGTTCGGCTGTGTGGATGGAGTGGTCGACGCTTTTCTCCACCGGTGAGTGTTTGAATAAATAAACCAAATAAGCACGACGGGGTTTTTTTGTGGTGTGTGTTATGGCGTTTATTTTTTGTTATATAAAGAGCCATATGTGTGGAAAACATGATAGTATATTGCAGCGCTTTCTGGCGACATGTTTATAATTGAACACAGCCGCACTGATGTGTTTATGTTTGATATAAGTGATAGTATTCGCACTGTGTGATGTAATATTGATAATCATGCTGTATATGGATATACTGGACAAAATATTTCCTTGTAACCATATTTTTCTACAAAAAACGCCATATGTACTGTTAGTCCCTGTATTATAGTGTGAAATGGTAATAAAGTACTGCATGGTGATTATGGAATCTCCTTCAGACATCATAAGAAGATTTCATAAATTAATCAAATTAATGGATCATTAAATTGATAACATTTATTTATTTATTTTGCTTTGTAGTTCTAACACATTAGAATGATTTCGGAAGGATCATGTGACACCAAAGGCTGGAGTAATGTTGCTGAAAATTCAGATTTGCATCACCGGAATAAATTAAAATTTTAAATATATATTCAAAAATAAAACACCTATTTTAAATTGCTATAATATTTAGATTTTTT